GGGGTGCGACGCATCCATTCTTGGCGCCTACTCGGTGAATAATTGCGGAATGAAGAATAAGCAAGAGTGACGCACATTCAAATACACATATATATATATATATATGTATATATGGACCCAATGCTGCCACCGATAACAGGAGGCTCAATGGACTAAAACAACAACGGAAGAAAAAAAAAGGCAAAAAAAAAAAAGAAATCCCTCTCTTCCATTTTCTTCTCCCTTTGTTTGTGTGAGAGAAAGTGTACGAGGTGTAGGCATTGACAACTGTAATCCTAGCCACTCCGCCAACAGCGAGGTGCAGCGTTGTTCCACCTCACCACTCCTCAAAGTACGCCGGCGCTTTTTTAGACAACTCGTCAGTATTCGGAGAAACACCGTCGGTTTCCTTGCGGTCAGCAGCAGCAGTCGCGATTTTTTCACCGCAGCCAACAAAATTCCCGGCAGCTGTGCGATTCTGCTCTTCTTCCGGGCCCAAAGTCTGCATAAAAGTTTTTGTTATTTCCACCGCCCCTGTTACCTTTGTTGTCATCGCCTCTCCTGCAGCACCCTCACTTCCATGTGATGTTTCTAATTCTGTTTCTGCACTGACAGCTGCTGTGACTGCCGTAGCAACCGTCTCGCTGCATGGGAGCGTACCGCGAGGGGAAAAATTGTCGAGTCTGTCTGCCTGCACTTCCTCTAGCGCAATCAATTCACACTGCGATGGTGCCCCTCGCTCTCTATCCTTTAATCCATCGGTTCCATTTTCGCCTGCCGCCTCCCAAAAACCGTTGTCGTGCCGCACACTGTTGTCTTTCGTGGCGTCTAAACATTCCGCCAAACCTGCCGGTTCACTCTGCCTCAACACGGCTACCGCACCGTCTATCAGAAGGCTCTGCCCTCCTCCAAGTGATGGAACGCGGTCACATGAACTGTTGTTGCTTATTCCAAATTGCGACCCTACGGCCTCAGCGTAAGCCCGCCGGGCTGATCGGAGGATGCCCGCCACGGCTGGTGTGCTCCTTTTAATGGAAAGAGGAGACACAAACACCGGCAGACCATCCCATAAAGCCGCAAGGCGTTGCGACGCCGCACAAGTTTCCTTCGCCCCTACACCCGTACGGTCAGTTTTTTTCGCTTGCGTGGCGGCGGCCATACTTGACTTGGTTGGAAAACTTTTCTTCGCCGCAGAAGGAACCGGCGGTGTGCGCCGCGTCTCTTTCTCAGCCGAGGTCTGCCGAACAAAATTTTCGCTCTTTACAGCTGACGATGCCGCAGCAGCCGCAGAATTTCTGTTGATCGTCGTGGTGTTAGCCACGCGTCTCTTTGGTGCCTCCTCAGGCGGCAACTCAATGAGCTCCAGCGTG